CCCCCCCCCCCCCCCCCCCCCTCCGCACCGACCAAGGTAGAGTGTGAACGCGGCTCCAAGTGCGAACTCCGGGTTCATGAAGTTATGGAATGTTTTTTGTACAAGGAGAGGATATTTTACGTGACTGAGCCTTGGGAAAAGTGTAAGGAAAATACGGGGAGATGTTTGAGGCATCGAAATACCAGCTGTACTGGGGAATAGAACGTGGGTTGAAGAGGCGGGATGTGATTTCGATATGATAGATAGGCTATGGGAAACATTTTCGAGACACTTTTTTTGGTTAAGTAGGAAAGAACGATTGACCATGGGTCTTTTGGGTCTTTGGGAACAACATTCCGTCCTCTCGAGGACGCGTGGTCAATGGTCTAACCACAAAGATATGCAAAACATCGAGTACGCCCGCCGCCGCCCCCTCCGCGCCAGAATTATTTGAAACGAAGATCCCCCTCCTCGCCGCTAATCTGAAACTGCCGGTGGGTGGGGTCACCGGACATCCCGTGAGTAACCCCTCACCAGTTCACGAGTTCTTATCTCGCAGCTGCCACTTTTTGGGGGATCTGTTCTTATCCAAAGGCGCTTTGTCAAACGACACATACGGGTTCTTGTTCTTAATACCACGTCGGAACTGAGCACGTGATCTTATGGGCAAGTTCTTAAATTTTGAATTTTTCGAGGCTGCATTCCTCAACTGCCAACTTCTTAAGTGCGAGCGCCATCTGTACTGCCCCGGACTCGCTGCTTCGTGATTGCCTCGAGAAATGCCGCAAGCTCCGGGGCCACCGCGCTTGCCCCTGGGACACTGCTGTGTTCCTCCACGTGGCGCTTCATGTCCCCCAGGTTGTTTGACTCGAAGTCTTGAAAGTTTTCTGTGGTCGCTCTTTGCGCCGGCGTGCAGCATAGCCGTGGCTACCCGAAGCTCCGTGATGTGTCGATGTTGTCGAGTCAAGCCCGCAGCCCTCACCACGCGAGAAAAGTCAGCGTCCGGCGTGGCAGGATCGTCGTGGGAGCGCTCGCTTTTTCGTGCTTCGCGCGGTTGCGTCGAAACTTTTCAAACCACCGATTCAAACGCGTTTCTACTCCGGCGTAGCAGCTTGGTGTTGCCATGTCTGCAGGATGCGAAAATAGGTGTGCGTGGTTCAGAGGTACTGCTGTTGCTATTCACTTGCACGTCCCAACTTCAACTCTTCATCCACAGCAGTTTTGGGATCTGTGTGCACGTACAGCAGCTTACCCAAGCTCGCGGTTGCTTACTACCCGTAGTAGCATGTGTGGATCTCCCTTGTAGGGAAAATGCTTACCTTGCTTCATGCCGTCCCTTCACAGCAGTGCTTTCCCTTTCACCGCTGCCCGCCCCGTGGTGGAGGGAAAGGAGCACAAACGTCGGGGGGATCGGTGTGTTTTCGGACGACAGGACCGTTCTTCAGAACGGTCCGTAGACTATATGGGGCGGAGCGGGGATACGATGAGGTTTACCACCATCGGTCTCGAGGTATTCTGCTCTGTGGTAATCGGCCATCCTTTTGTCGAGTCAGGAGCTTGCTTCCTCCGCAGAACAAAAGTGCCTCCTGCAGAATGGCTACCGCCGTACGTAGACTAGTGACGTAAACGTAAAATGCTTGGTATCGTGAGTTCCAGCCAGTACCAGCCAAATGAGGCTCCACGCTCTTGCTTTACTCAATACGTTTCGGGAATTCACTTCCAGAATACAAAACCCTGCATGGATACTGCTGTACTTCTGTTCGCAGGGGGGGCAAACGAAATATACTTTTTTCGAAATAATATCCTACGTGTTCGCCAAAGCAGCAACCCAAGCCTGCAACGAGAGTCCCGGAAGGATTGTTCACACAAAAAAGATAATCGGTCGGGCTCTTTGCCGCGTCGTCTACTAGCGAGCTGACGGTATACTTCACAGGTCTCTAGGTAGTGATAACAATTCACGGGTGAAAGATTGAACATCTAGGGTGTTGACCGTTCCTCTTCCTTATCCTTTGCCCTCTCCCACTACTCGTGGCGAACGTGATGGGGACGACACGACAGCACAGCGCGCAGCAGTGGTCGAATATGCTACCCTTCGTGGGTCCCCCCCTCCCCCATATTTTACGCCTCCGAATCTCACCACTAGGCTCGTATTTCGAAAAGAGCTGCACACACCCTACTTCCTTGGGCTGGAGGCAGCAGCACACAGCAGTAGAGAAAGGGAGCAGGCCGAAGCCCAGAGGGAGGGTAGAGCACCATGGCCTACCGCGGTCCGATGCAGGAAGAAGCTACCTTCGTCGATGTGAGAGCCAATTTCAGCAAGCAGTCAATCAGCGTACCGTAAAGCAAGCAGCAGGCCTTGTACTCTACCCTCATCCTGCTTACACAGAGAACAATGTATGTCATACCGAATCCCACCGGTCCCGAATCCCGCGTGCATCACACAACGACCACAAGTCTGCTGTTTGGTATAAATGTTGGAGCTCGGCATGTGCTTTGCTCTTGCGTTTTGGGTTGAAATATGTCGGGACAGAATCCCCCCGAGGGAGTCCACGTCGCACCTGCGTCCCGATGGATCATTTCTCTCTTGTGCATACTGCTGCTGTGCTCCTGAAGAAACCAGTACAATACTTTGGTGCTGAACAGCTATTTATGTACCCATGATTGTACTATCCGCAGGGGATTCTGAGACACGACAGGCGCCGTCGTTTGGATTGTTTGCGCTTCTCCCGTACGGAGTATGTACGACGAACACGCGGGTATGAAATTCAGTGAGATCTCGAGAGGAAGATCATGCATGCGGTAGAAAAAAATGCTCCGTTCCCCCCAATAATTGATTATTTTATTATTGCGAGGTTCCGATGTACGTATTGACAAGTTCACTTTTACTTTGTAGGGAAGAGAGCTAGTTTATGGACGCCATAAAAATTATTAGGAAAAATATATACACACACAGAAAGACTACCCGTTCGATACAGGATGGCGCTCGCATTTACGAACCTCCAGTTTCGGCCGAGGCTGGGGTTCTTATTTTGCTGATCATCCTCTTGTGGGCTACAAATGGCCGCTATATAGGTTTTAGTGTTGGGTTCGTAACCGAGCTCACAAATGGTGCTCAAGTTCTTAGTTTCTGTTTTTTGCGAGTCTCAAGTTCTTAACTGCTAAGTTCTTCAGTGCGGGCGCTATCTGTATACCCACATTCGAACGGGATGTGGTGGAGTGATTGAATGAACTTCGACCCCATTATAACAGGAAGATTTTTTTGGCACGAAGGGCAGCTGGCCTCTGCTAAAGCTGAACTTTTTCAAGTTTTCCCATCTTGTAGCTTTTAGCTGCTTTGGTCAACGCCACGCCAGGATGGGTGCTGTTGCACACCTCACCCCACCAACGCATGCCCGCGGTCGGTCGTAGAGCTTACTGCCAGCAGTGAGAGGACTCCTGCTTCGGCGCTGACGAAGGTAATAGACTTGTCAAATTGATATCGGGCCACAGCTCGCTCATAATTTTTCGAACAAACACACACCCGCCCACGGCAGCAGCGGCCAGACACCTACACGATGTAGTGCAGCATGATCAACAACAACTGCGNGACTTGTCAAATTGATATCGGGCCACAGCTCGCTCATAATTTTTCGAACAAACACACACCCGCCCACGGCAGCAGCGGCCAGACACCTACACGATGTAGTGCAGCATGATCAACAACAACTGCGAGGGCATCTTGCTGCCTTGTGCGTTGTTGGCTCTGGCTTGAAGATTGGCGGGATACGTTGCGAGAGAGCGACGAGCGTTTTGGCGTGCAGCGTGCGTTTGTTGCTGCGTGCGCACACCCTGTCTGGGCGCGTGCATGTATGCATTCCAGCTCAAAAACGTCGCGTCCTCTCTCACAAGACGCTCACAACGCTCCACTCAGACCCATCTCGGTTGGTGGCAAGGTACCTCAGAGCTGTGGAGCACACAGCGTCGAAGGTTTTACCCGAATGCAAGCATCTGTTTGGGAGATGAGGTGACTTTGTCGGGGGCCGTGCTGAACAGATTCCCTCATGGTGACATCGTGACATCACATCGTTAAACGTTAAACCTTCGGAAAATTCAGGACTGGTCCCAGGAACGGTTCTGTTAAAAGTGAAAGTAAACTTTTGCCAAGAATACTTCCGAAACCGTCTATATTGTTGAAATAATTTCGTAGATACCGCATTGGCGAACAATTCGTCGGAGATCCCAGATGACCATCCAACCAGGAAAAAATGCAAGTCCATTTAGATTGGCGGTGGCACCCACGCTGGAGCCCTAAACACTGATATACGATGGTTTCGTCACACAGTATAGGTTTGGGCGAATTGCGATTCGAATCACGCGGGAAGGCGGGGGGGGGGGGGGTACTCATAGTCGTGCATGCCGTAGTCGTTGACCTCGCATCCCTACAAAGCCGGGACGGAGCACGCCGGGTTCTCACCGGACCAAGCTCTCACATCACCAAGCGCGAAGCGCCGTGAGATATTCGGCGAGTCGCATGAAGGGTGCGCTGCATCCTGCTAAGGGTTTTCGGCACCTTGTGCTTACTTTCTTGCGTACGGATGACAGCTGCGTATGACTTAATTTACTTTCTGGTGCTTTCACTTCCAGAGACAGTTGTAAGCACTGTGTAACTGTGTAACTGCCTCGAGGGTGCTTGACCATTGTAACACGACGTTGTGCGATCATCTCCCTTGCGCGGAGTAAGGTTTCTCCACCTTGCACAACATGATCTACTCGACCACCATTATGGTTACCGACAAAAAAACGAAAACAGAAGTATATAAAACAAACGATAACCTGGTCGCTGAGTTCACGAAGTGACTTGGCTTGTTTTACAACGTCGTTGCCAAGCGACGAAAACCCAACCCCGATGGCAGACTCCGAGGGGGGGGGCGTACTCTTATGTTTTGCATGCCTTAGCGGTAAGACCATTGACCACGCGTCCTCGAGAGGACGGAGCATTGTTCCCA